GTTGAACGATGAACGAGGCAAAACGTTTTTGTTATTATAATATAAATATGCATGTAATAGATAATATCATATAATTTTGACGATATTGATAATAATCACATTCTAAATTCTATACACCTGCTGGTGAGACAGTACTGTCATGTGTTTCTTTTAAATGTATAATAATACGCTCGGGTTTATTCCATGGCGGTGTGTATTATCCCATAAACACTGTTTTCTCTATTAAATAACCAATAAACTATATTTCTCCGACGGAGCGTCATTTCTTGCTGGGTAGCTGTGTAGGTGTCACATTTGCTCTGGAAGCAACGCGTACAACATATTCAGTATAGTTAATTCATTATTCATACGGCGATATCTGAACAATGTTATTTAAATTCAAGACTAGACGAGTCGCTTTGTTTGGACCAGGTACTGCACAAATTAATAAAGTTATAATGACTAAAAAAATAAAAACATACTGATTACTTTGGTAAACTATTATAGATGACAAGAAGAAGACTTAATCGAAAGTAAGTTTCTTTACTGAACACTAAAAATATAATATATAGTTTATGATATGTTGTTTTTTTTCCATTAATATTTTCTAAGTATTTTAATTAATTTAGTTTTGAAATTTCGATCAAAAATAAGTGTGAGTACTCATTTAAAATTTTAAACATGACATTCATTATTGAATCAGTAAAAAAAACAATCTCACGATTAATTAAAATTATCCTAATATGGTTACTCAAATATCGTAATTTTGCGAGTTTAATTTACTTTTTATCGACATTTAAGTTTAAATTAAGATGACATTGGATAGTACGTCATATTATTACGAATAATGCTGATGATGGTTATTTTGTTGTATACCAAATTCAAAAATATTATTCTCCTGAACTCAAAACGTTTTTGTACGTATATTTTTATTTTTAACATGCACAATACAAGTACATTAAAAAAAATTTATATTAATTTTAAACTACTATCTATTTATATCCCGAAACTATTCTCACCGTTCACGGTATTGACTTTGAGTAGTTTTAATAAATAATAGCCATAATATGTAGACATGTAGTTGGGCAAAATAAATTACTATAATATCAATATAAAATGCATTTAGTAATATTATAGGCTGACAGATAGTCTTGGCTCAGAACCATTTTTACAATGTATGTATTGATTAATCATTATATTCAAATTTAACACATACATTACAGTGACTTACTTATTGACGGTTGACGAGGTACACTTGAAATTTACAGTACAGAAGAGAGGTTGGTTTTCTACTTTAACCATATTGTATTTATAATAATAAGTTGATTTATAATACATTTGTCAACATTTTATCAACCATAAGTATAGTTAACCATATATAGTTATTGCTTACTAACAAATAATATATGGGTATGCAAATATTATACTTTTAGCTAAACTATTATGCAATAATTTTCTTTTTAATATTCATTCTTGAATCTTAGGTCAAGTTTACTCACACACCCAAATTCTAAATGGCTATTGAATATTGATACACATATAAAAAGGGTTTGGGTACAAAAACTAGGTTGAACAAATATTTAAATATTTACGAACTAAAATAATATATGACGTATTTTAATAATATGATTACCTGTAGATTTGGAAAATTCAAACATTTATCTTTATTTACTAATCTATATTTTGATATTATTTTGTTTTATCCATACATCTAAGACATTTAGAACTTTGTGATATAATAATATAGTCATTAACATATTATCTAATAAAAAACATAACTTTTCAGTATTCTGTATTTGTAGTTAACATTAAATATGTTTAAATTATTGTTTTGCATTAATAGTTATCTGTTATAATACGTACATTATAGGTACGTACTAATGTATTTAATATTTGACTTAGATTCATGAACACCAGTAAATTTAAACTAATACAATTACGTTAAGTTTAATATGAGAAGAAAATTATTTCAAGATGTTTATAACAAGATAATAAAGAAAAATTGCCAAACTTGGTAGATTTAATTTATTTAATGTGTTTTTTAACAGTAAAATGTATGAATTAAATAATCATAAAATTAAGCTATACAGTTTTTTAAGTGACATACTGACATGCCTTTTTGTTTTATTACTATAGTATAGTATAATAATACACAAAGAAAACTTAATACATTATAATGTTACATCGTTGTATTATACCATTTTTATTAGTTTGAATGTTGGTTGTTAATAAATTATAGAAAAATAAAATTAATGTTTAAAGCTATGTTTGAGGTAAAAACGTGCACTCGACATTTTTAAGTTGTTTCCTACTGTTCATCTTGGATATCGTCTAAAGCACGCAAAATATGTAAGAGAGTTGTAAAAGCAGAAATTCTGTACGTGAAATTGTATTTTATTGTGATTATTCTTTCGAAAACATCGTGTTTATTTTAATATTTAAAAATTTAAATAATTGCTCATTTTTAATTTCATTTACTACCGATTCTGGAAAATAATAAAATAATATTTATATTACAATTTATTTGGATTACTGAGAAATAGGATATTATAGGTACTATACCTTGAGGCTTAGATACTTATAATTTTTATTCGATACAGTTATATTAAGGGATTTTATTCAAATACTTAGGCAGGTGGGTAACGATGGACGACAGTTACAATGTGGTTTCAAATATAGTACAGTTAACAACTTAAGAAAATTTATATATGTATAAAATACAATACAAAAATACAGGTTATTAACTATTGAGGAAGAATAGGTTATGGTGCCAAGCGCATAGCAAACCTGCAAACCAGTATCCAATCTTCCAAACGCAACGATGATAGTTGTATTTTGTTGTTGTCAATAAATGATGCTCAATGAGGGACAAGGCATGTGCAAACAATTTAGCTCCCACGTAGAGGTTAAAAAATGAAAGTAAAAAAAGGAACTAAACATGTTGAGAATTGTTGAGAAATATCAAGAGTTATGACCGTATTCAAAGTGGTGTGAAATGACATATAGAAAGAAAGTTGGTTGAGAGTACATTTAGATTAAAATTGAAATGAAATTCTGAAAAAGAAAATCTAAAACATCATATTGTACAAAATGTATTTTTTTAAACTATTTTTAAGGACTGTTATCCTTAGTAAAAACATTTTAAAACTACGAAATTAAGAATTTGAATTTGAATTAGGAACATCAACATTTTCAAAAAAACTATCCACTAAATAGTTTTCAGCAAAAAAGGGGGGTTCTTATTTGAAAAATAGAAGTTTGTATCACTACAATACATTAATTAAGTTATACAAAAAAATTCAAGAATTCGAAAATATGGTCTTTGAGTATAATATTTAAAAAAAAAATTTTATTTAACTCATTATTAAAGGAAAGCATGATGGTGAGCAATGAGTATGCTTAGCGAATCTTCGTGTATCTACAGAATATTATATTATTTAACAACTTTTTAGTATGTATGCCTATTGATAATATTTGTTTCTAAGTAATGCTGTGAATGTATTTGTTTTACAGTGATCTTTTTTATTTTATTTTTAGTCTGCCATTACCTTTTGAAGAAAAATGTTTCATTTTTGAGAAATCTGTACCATCAGAAAATAGAAGTAAAAAATTTCTCATAACTACCTTTCAAAATAATTGGGGAAATAATATAAAAATTTCTAAACACCAGTTTTTGAAAAATTCAATATTGGTTATAAGTTGTAATCGAATGTATTTTGATTGAATATTTATAATTCCATTTTCAAGAGTGACAATTTATATATAATTTAAAAATGTTATCTGTTTTCTCTTAGTGTACATTGCATATTTTCGAAATTATTATAGCGATTAACGATTGTTGTCAGGAGTACGATGTTTTTCGCTTTACTAATAACCTTATTATTATTCTTATTGTTGTTCGCCATTTTGATTAGAACTTGATTAATGTAATGTAAATAGTATTTATGAGTTTTCAAACAAGTACAACATCAATCGCGATAAGTACGATGTAGAGACGACGATTGGTTGCTGCTACACCGTTATTATATTGTTTTAAATATCGAAACCACCGAGGCGGCCTCCGATGAGACCGTATGCGCTAGACGCTGACAATATTACAGAGGATCTAATATTTATATTTCGTTTATTAGTGCTCGCTAGACTTAAGCTAAAAAAGAAGAGTAAATAGAATATTTAATACACATCTTTGATTAACCGGCATATATAGAAACAAACGATATACGTTATAGCGGTAATGACTAATGACTCAGAGTGCAAACTATAGGCACCCAAGTACCGATCGGTGGCCATCACGGAACTCGACCAAATTTCTTATAGTTTTTTTTATAGACATTTCAAAATATCGAAACACATGATATTTAAACAAACATTACGATTTTAGTTATTATTTCTGTATTAATTGTAATTTTAAAAATATTAATAGCAGGGCTTAGCTAAACATTTTACCATCACTTATAAATGTACAATATTATTGTTTTCTTTATACAATGCAATTCGCAAAATATTTAGTCTAGGTTTATGTCTTACCAATTCACACTGTTGACGGTACTCAGTATTGACTAATGAGTTATATAACAATAATAATACTATAATATTTATCTTAAATAATTTTATCTTTAATAAATATACACCGTAATTTTGTCCAAAATTTATTCATCGTATTATTACAATATACAAAACTAGTTACAGCAATAAGAATAAAATACCCTTAAAAATAAAGTTCGACACCCCGTTTCCACTCAAATCTAATGGTTATTATTTGAAAAAAATTCACAGTGCTACTTCACTAAATTGTGATTTTTTTAATAGAAATACAAAATATATACACTACATAGGTATGCTGTATATACTGCTCACATGCATAGGTTTAATAAAATATTATACATTTTTGTATTAAAACATTTCAGACATATTATTCAGTAATATAAAATAGATGATATCAATAATAGGCAACTGTTTAATTATGTGTTTCTATTTTTAAATTAAACTAAATTTAATCACATTATAAAACAATTTTTCAGGATGGTTCTATAGAGTTTGAAGAATTCATCAAAGCTTTATCAGTAACGTCCAGAGGAAATTTGGACGAGAAACTTCACTGTGAGTATATTATAATTAAGTTTTTTTTGTTATCTTCGCTGTTTTTTAGCGGTGGCATTTTTAGTGATTAAACACAAACACTGTACTAAGATTATAGGCCTATTTTACATTTTTACGCTTATGTATTTTTTAAAATGATAAGATCATTTTCGGAAAAGGAAACATGTTTTCATCTGAATTTGGACGAGCTACTAATTTTTATTAGATACAATTTACTTTTAGTTAAATTCTTGTTATTTATTACAAAACTGTTGGCCTGGCACAAACTTCAAAGTTGTTTTTTTGAATATTCAAATCACCTATGTTTCAATGCCACGAATAATGCATAATATACGCGTGAACAGAATAAGCGTTAAACTCCATTATAAAATGGAGAAGAGTGAAGGTACCTTCAGAAAAATGCATTTTAATATTTAACAGTATAATTTATACACATTAATAATAATAATAAAAATACAATTCATCGGCTTGTGCTCTGCGAATGAAGTGTCAAACTTACATGAATACGTTTGTGATAAAATATCTCGAGATCAATAAAACCAGGCAGATAACGAGATGATAGTTGAAAGAAGAAAATGGAAGGAAGGTTTGTAGTGGTCACGTTCAGTTTTACTTTTTAACTAAGATGCATTTTTTTCGAGAGATTTTCAGTATACTTACCACGTATGAGTGCTAGCTTAGAAGCTGGTGCTTTTACAAGAGTGCCTTGTGGCTTAATGTTGTAGATAAAAATACAACTGATCTCGCGATTTTACATAAACATTAAACAGTGTATTACATTGGCTTTACACTTTACACAGCACCTTTATATAAGTGTACAGTCTCTGTCGGAATAAAAGGGTTCCCACTTTCCATAGGCCTATAACATACGAGTGTATGATAATAATAATATGTCACTATATGGTGGGCGAATTCATATTATAATATTTGGCAAAAAGTAATGTTGCATTGTTTATAATTTTTCTTTTTTCTCAAACGTCACACTATTTTGGATACAACTGCTATTTGTGTAAAAATGCCATTAATTAGATGTTATGCAGTCGCTCAATAGAAGCAGGCGTATTTTAAAAACTACCTATAATAAATTATGTACGAACGACGTAAACTGATTGTTAAAAACTGCTAGAGGATATTCTGAATACGATACTTTGAAAAGTTAAATAAAATATAGTTACATCGATACATCAACGTTTGCTCGTGATTCAATTATTGTCGTGAGTAGAAAATAAATTCTAAGTCTCACTACCTAGAATATAGGTATGTCATATAATGGGGTTAGCCGGTATTCAAAATAAGTAAGTACGCCAATTATTTAAGTTTGATTAGTGAATTTCTATAAGGATTTGTATTTATTTTTTCGAGACATGTACACTTGCTTTATATCATCGACGAAGTATGCACAGCGGGTATATTATTAAATACACCATCTCAATAGAAGAAAATTGTATACCTTTCAAATTGTATGGTAAATGATGAAAGTTTAATTTGCGTAAACCATAATTTTGTGAGTTACAATATATACACAAACTCGGTGGAAAGTTTTTGAGTCTGAATACGTGCATTGTGTGGTATACCATTTTTCCATTTCCATTTTGTTTTATTTACATATTAAATAAAATACTATACTATTTTATTCATTTTAGTTTTTTTAAATGAAAATGTGCTGGTAAAATATGAATAAAAACATTTTAACCATAGAAAATTAAAAATATAAAATTGAGTACACATTTTCCTATAATATTTTATTTTAATACTATTTGTCCATTTATAATAAAGTATGGACGTGAATAATATAACAGTACTTTTAAGTAATACTTTACTAGTCTATATCTTATTTGTTGTATTTCATCACATTTACACATACACAGGTGACTAATATTATTTACTTAAATTATGATTTATGATCTCTAAACTAAACAAGAAATACCAACAACCTTATTTATCAATGGCATAGAATATGTATGCATTTTCAATAGAAAAATATTTAAATTTAAGCCATCGTAGTGTAAATTAACATTATTTTGTTTATTTTATACTGAAACTTTTTCTGGGACATTTATTCAGTTAAAGACGACTCACTTCTAAGCAATTTAATTTTCATACTAATTTTAATTTGATTACTTTTGATATTTTTGATATTTTAACTTCTTAATAATTCAAATGATGAGAATGCAAAAATCGATTAATCGATCTAAGTTAACTTTGTAATGAAATTAAATTATTTATATAAACGAATCAATTTAAACAATTAATGCCTTTAATACATTACAATACCCATATTTTATTACTGTTTACATACTTTATTTTACACTAGACTGTAGCAGAAACAACCGTTAATATTAGGATTGTGCCATTCCAATTGCTCTAAAAATCATATTTTATTTTCCACACACCATAAATCATGATTTTATCGTAATAAGCGATATTTTCAAGATCATCAAAGCGCATTGGACGATGGGAAAATTACAGCTTATTGAATATTTTTATCAATGATTACCTGATGACAATTTAAAATTTACCTACTTCCTCACTTTAACAAGTTATAAATATTAAAAAAAACTATTTATTCCTGTTTTTAACATTATTGAAACGTACGACATGTGCAATATAAAATATGTTTTAAAATGTATAAATAGTATAATATTATGTAGAATGCATACAATATACCTGTATAACATATATGTACTTTACAAATAATGTTATATAGTATTAAGATCACAATATGATGATTTTTTTTATGACCTATTTGTTTTATTTTGAGATAAAACGTTTTCTTTGCACTTTAAAAAAAAAAATATTACCATCGATATTTTATACTGCATATGCTGTAGTAGATAGCATGACATTTATATACATATTGTAAAATTGAGAACTAAGTATCCAGTATTGACATAATAATTTAATATATTACTTGTATTCTTAAACATTATTCTCAAGATAATTTAGTTCACAAAACAATTTTGCTTCAGAATATTGGACTAAAAGTATTTTTAAAAAAGAAATAAAATAACCTAGAAAAAATGTATTCATATAAAAGAAGAATAAAAGGTTTTTAAAAATGTATTGGATTTTATAAAAAATTAAGATTTTGTCATATAATTATATATTTTTTTAAGAACAACAAAAATGTCCAGGAATATTATTATTTACTACTTGTGATGTAATTTTTGTATTTATAGTTGTGTACGTTATATATCCAATATTAGTTATAATTTATAATTTTAAAATAAAACTGTTTTTATTATAAATTGATTGAATTTCATTAGTAAAAATCATTCGTTAAAACATGTTTAAGCGCTTTATAGTCCGTCAAAACAGTAATAATAATATCTATAATAATAATAATAATTATTATTATTATTATTATCTACGTCCAACAGGCAACAAGGACAAAAAGCCTATAATATTTTATGCAAGTGATGGTCGATCGATGTCTATTGGTCTGTTAGATGGTTAAAAAGTGATTTTCTACAAATTTTTTTTTTAATCTTTACTCGAGAGAGAAAAAAACGATAACTAAAACATTGGCTGTGTCTTTTATTTTTCATGAAGCTGAGAATAAAATTATCATTCTGTAGGATAATCCCCTGTCAAGGTCGTGTTACTTTAAATTCAAATTTGTCTTGATTAAAAACAATTTTTACTGACTTTGATAGACCAATATGTTAGTATTCTAAACTCTAATGCTTTTTTTTCAAATAATGATGTCTCTGCATTATCTATACCGTCTACTTTGTAATACAAATATTATAATTAAAAATAAATACATACTATAATTAAGTGTCATAAATATCTATCTTTAAAATATGTACCAAAGTAAGAAAACTATGGTTGGATTATAATCTATATGCGTTGGTAATGAAATAATATCTATATACCAAAAATATTAATGTTAAGTACATAGACTAGACTACTAGAGTTTGTTTATTTTTTACTGCATACTCGAAATGATTTAGAATTCGTCTGTTGCTTTTAGTGGAAAAGATAAGGTTGATTTGAAGGTTTCAATACATCTGTGCAATAACTATTACAATTATATATGGATTTTTTGTTTCATGACACTGTATGGATTTGGATATTGAATTCTGTTAAAATTAAAGAATTAATCCCTTTGTTTAGTTAGCAAATGTTTTCATTACATCAGTAATTAAGCACATGCGTTTATGTGATGTGAATAGGATTGTTATAAGCTTTTATAAATTTTATTATGGAATTCATTAGAAGTGCCTTTGTCCAAACTATTATTTGAGTGCTTTTCAAGTTGAAATTGTTGGTACCATTGTTAAATGATTTGTAAAATGTTTCAACAAACAGTTACATCCTGTTACTGTCGTGGCAAACTTAATTTTACAAAATGGATCTTTGAAATAATTATTCAGTTTCCTATAAACTGTGTTTGGGTAAATCAGTGTTAAGAAACTACAATCAGTCTGCTCTGTTATAAATTATCTAAAATACTGTGTCGTAGTTGTGTTGCGCATATGGTTAGTTCTCGATGTGTTATAATATATCTGTATCTAACTACACGAAGTTCCTTCAATTAATTCCCCCTTATATATCATATTAGATAATCAAATTGTCCACATTTTATTTTAATTTATCTTATTTTGTGTTAACTCGCATAACTTGTGCTTATTTCAAATACAAATTTAAAAATATTTTCTGAATTCTTAGTAAAAAAAAATTAAAATTCAATCATACTAAATATCAAATATAATCTTTTCTAGTTACACTTATAGGTTGTCCAGCATTAGTTTTTCTATACGTACAAGTAACTTTATATACTCTGTTCATTAATAGTATATATTTTACAATAGTTTCATAGTTTTACAACTACTCATTATTTTCTAGGTTGTATAGTATAGTAATTGTTGAATTATTATATTTTATATTTCTTTTTTCGTTGGAATTTGGATCAAGATTTGAACTCGGTAATTTTTTCCTTTTAGCGTTAGAACAGGTATTAATAATATTACCAGTCACACATTTTACTATATTAA